AGTGGGAAAATGGAATGCACTTAAGGAACAGGTTGTGGAAGCAAATACTATTCATAATTTTAAAACTAGGTATGATAGGGAAATGGGACCGGAGTCATTGCTGTAAACAACCGATGCTCGAAAGGCGGGATCCAAGAGTCAATGCTCGATCCTGCAGACACAAATAGGTGAGTAACACATCTGGAGAGAAGAGAGATAGAATTCTATGTTCAAGTGACAAAGATTAAGCAAGAAAGAGAAGGATGGGCGAACTGCATTTTTTTGGACTGTCGGAAAGCCTTTGACACAGTACCCCATAAAAGGTTGATGCATAAGCTGGAGAAACAGGCAGGAGTAACTGGTAGGGCGCTCCAGTGGATAAGGGAGTACCTAAGCAATAGGAAGCAGAGAGTTACAGTGAGGGGAGAGACCTCAGAATGGCGTGAAGTCACCAGTGGAGTCCCACAGGGCTCTGTGCTTGGACCTATCCTGTTTCTGATATACGTAAATGATCTCCCAGAGGGTATAGACTCATTCCTCTCAATGTTTGCTGACGACGCATCAAAATTATGAGAAGGATTAAGACAGAGGAGGACAGCTTGAGGCTTCAAGAAGACCTAGACAAGCTGCAGGAATGGTCGAACAAATGGCTGTTAGAGTTTAACCCATGCAAATGTAATGTAATGAAGATAGGGGTAGGAAGCAGGAGACCAGATACAAGATATCATTTGGGAGATGATATACTTCAAGAGTCAGAGAGAGAGAGAGAAAGACCTGGGGGTTGATATCACGCCAGACCTGTCCCCTGAAGCTCATATCAAGAGAATAACATCAGCAGCATATGCCAGGTTGGCTAACATAAGAACGGCCTTTAGAAACTTGTGTAAGGAACCTTTCAGAAGATTATATACCACATATGTCAGACCAATCCTGGAGTATGCGGCTCCAGCATGGAGTCCATATCTAGTCAAGCATAAGACTAAACTGGAAAAGGTTCAAAGGTTTGCCACCAGACTAGTACTCGAGCGTAGAGGTATGAGCTACGAGGAGAGACTACGGGAATTGAACCTCACTTCGTTGGAAGACAGAAGAGTTAGGGGGACATGATCACCACATGCAAGATTCTCAAGGGATTCGACAGGGTTGATAAAGACAGGCTATTTAACACAAGGGGCACACGCACTAGGGGACACAGGTGGAAACTGAGTGCCCAAATGAGCCACAGAGATATTAGAAAGAACTTTTTTAGTGTCAGAGTGGTTGACAAATGGAATGCATTAGGAAGTAATGTGGTGGAGGCTGACTCCATACACAGTTTCAAGTGTAGATATGATAGAGCCCAATAGGCTCAGGAACCTGTACACCTGTTGATTGACGGTTGAGAGGCAGGACCAAAGAGCCAGAGCTCAACCCCCGCAAGCACAACTAGGTGAGTACACACACAGTCATTTACAACCCTCCCCTAAATGACAGAAGACAGGAGTTTGATGGGAACAACATGGCAACCATTAATATAGTAGAGAGAGCTGCTTCAGTTGCCTGCAGGAATGGCTCCAAACTCTTAATCATGGCGATTTCAACCATGGAAAGATAGACTGGGAGAATGGGGACCCACATGGTGGTGCAGATACGTGGAGAGCTAAACTCTTGGAAGTGGCAACAAGGAACTTTCTGAGCCAGCATGTCAAGGAACCCACAAGAGTGAGAGGCAATGATGAACCAGCTAGACTCGACTTTATATTCACCCTGAATGAGTCAGAAATAAGGGAAGTCAAAGTTGAAGCCCCCATAGGAATGAGTGACCACAGTGTACTGATTTTTGAGTACTTGGTGGAGGTAGGGATAACTTATCCAAGGATGGGATCGGAGGGAAAAAGACTAAATTACCGAAGAGGAAAATATGACGAGATGAGGAACTTCCTCAGGGGAATACCATGGGAAACAGTACTTAGAGACAAGAATGTGCAGGACATGATGGATTTTGTCACCCAGAAGTGCCAGGAAGCTGCAGACAGGTTTATCCCCGTCCAAAAGGAGAAAAACGAAGAACAACAGAAAAACCCATGGTTCAACCAGGAATGCAAGATAACAAAGGAACTGAGTAAAAGAACATGGAGAAACTACAGAAATAACAGAACACCGGAGAGCAAGGAGAGATACCAGAGGGCCAGAAATGAGTATCTCAGAGTGAGGAGGGAAGCAGAGAGACAGTTTGAAAATGACATAGCGAGTAAAGCCAAGACCCAACCAAAGCTGCTCCACAGCCACATCAGGAGGAAAACAGCAGTGAATTAACAAGTGATGAAACTGAGAAAAGGGGAGAACAGATACACAGAAAATGACAAGGAGGTGTGTGAAGAACTCAACAAGAGATTCCAGGAGGTCTTCACAATAGAACAAGAAGCCCCTGCACTAAATGAGGAGGAGGCAAACCAAGCAACCTTGGAGGAATTTGACCTCACCAGTAATGAGGTCAAAAGGTGTCTGCTGGAGCTGGATGTGACAAAGGCTGTTGGGCCTGACAGAATCTCACCAAGGATACTAAAGGAAGGTGCAGAAGCACTAAGTGCGCCACTCTCTATGGTGTATAACAGGTCATTGGAAACAGGAGACTTACCAGAAAGTTGGAAGACAGCTAACGTAGTCCCAATATACAAGAAGGGTGACAGGCAAGAGGCGCTGAACTACAGGCCAGTTTCCCTAACTTGTATTCCATGTAAGGTGATGGAGAAGATCGCGAGGTAAAGGCTCGTAGAACATCTGGAGGGAAATAACTTTGTAACACACCACCAACATGGGTTCAGGGATGGTAAATCGTGCCTCACAGGTTTAACAGAATTCTATGACCAGGCAACAAAAATTAGACAGGAAAGAGAAGGGTGGGCCGACTGCATTTTCCTGGACTGCCAAAAAGCCTTTGACACAGTACCCCATAAAAGGCTGTTAAAAAGTTGGAGCATCAGGCAGGAGTAAAAGGGAAGGTGCTCCAGTGGATAAGGGAGTACTTAAGCAACAGGAAACAGCAAGTAACGGTGAGGGGGGAGACATCAGAGTGGTGAGATGTCACTAGCGGAGTCCCACAGGGCTCAGTACTTGGACCCATCCTGTTTCTAATATATGTAAACGATCTCCCGGAGGGTATAGACTTGTTCCTCTCAATTTTTGCTGATGATGCAAAAATTATGAGAAGAATCAAGACGGATGAAGATAGACAGAAACTACAGGATGACCTGGACAAACTGGAGGAATAGTCTAGAAAATGGCTGCTAAAGTTCAACTCGGGAAAGTGTAAGGTAATGAAATTAGGCGAAGGGAGCAGGAGGCTGAACACAAGGTATCATCTGGGAGGTGAAATCCTGCAAGAGTCAAATAGAAAGATCTGGGGGTTGATATCACACTGAACCTGTCCCCAGACCACCACATCAAAAGAATATCATCAGCGGCATATGCTAGACTGGCCAACATAAGAACTGCCTTTAGAAATTTGTGTAAGGAATCGTTCAGGACCCTGTATACCACTTGTGTAAGACCAATCCTGGAGTATGCAGCTCCAGCATGGAGTCCCTACCTAGTTAAACACAAGGCAAAGTTAGAGAAGATCCTGCGGTATGCCACCAGGCTCGTCCCGGAACTGAGAGGAATGAGCTACAAGGAAAAGCTAAAGGAGCTGAACCTCACAACCCTGGAAAACAGAAGAGTAAGGGGAGACATGATAAACATCTACAAAATTCTCAGGGGAATTGACAGGGTGGACAAAGACAAACTCTTCAGCACGGGTGGGATACGAATAAGGGGACACAGGTGGAAACTTAGTACCCAGATGAGCCACAGAGACGTTAGAAAGAATTTTTTCAGTTTTTTTTTCTTACCACAGACGTGGCCACACATTTACAATGCTAACCAGCATATATACATTTTCTTCTGTCCTCCATGGACAGGGTTAGAGAAGTGTTAAACATATAATTCAAGGGTTAATTGAACACTCAACCACAGAAGGTGATTCGGTGCTTTTAAAATGCTAAGCTAACCTACATACGTAAATACATAGTTACACAGATTTACGTATGTACTATATAAAGTGTTTGATGTGTCTTTTACATAGTGTCATTAATGTACATTCACAAAGGTGAAATTTAATTCTTTCAGTGTCAGAGTAGTTAACAAATGGAATGCACTAGGAAGTGATGTGGTGGAGGCTGACTCCATACACAGTTTCAAATGTAGATATGATAGAGCCCAGTAGGCTCAGGAATCTGTACACCAGTTGCTTGACAGTTGAGAGGCGGGACCAAAAAGCCAAAGCTCAACCCCCGCAAGCACAACTAGGTGAGTACAATTAGGCGAGTACACACACACACACGTTACCATGTTTGAGTACTGAAACACTTCTCATATTACTAGATGAGGTACCCGGTGATTCCCGGATCACGTCCGACTCCAGTGATGGTGTAATCCAACATCCACTCTATCGGTGAAGCCCGTCCTCCGTAACGTTCCCAACGTCCAGAAAACGGTCAGTTTAAAGTGGTCTCTCCTAACCTACCAGAGGACCCAAAACAGAAAACGGGACAGAACGTCACTTTCGCCAGCCGCTTCCATTTTCTAGTACGATAATTTTTGGCCCTTGGGTAACGCATACGTGCAAAAAGCGACGTTTTATGTAGGAGGACAGGTTGCTCTCACTAGGGGAGGATGGGTGGCACCACACACCTGCTCCTGTATCACAGGCACCACACACCTGTACCATATGCATACATGACACTAAAATCCACCACGATGTAGTTCTTACTCATACATGTGGGATTTTCACCTCTACTGCCCGGAGTGGTAATTTACCTATAACCATACAGATATGCGTCATTAGCTCCTGGTACGCGGTCAGATTACAACGTATAGATATGTATATGCGTATGTACTCTGGAGTTATACATATATAGATGTATGGGGTTGAGTATTATGTATATGCAGTGAAAGGTTATGCATATGTATGTATACGATAAGGATATTTATGTGATTGGCAGGTCCGGGCCCGGGCGCTGGAGTCTGCCTCACTCTACTGGTTTGTGGTGATGGAGGAGGACGTCACCAGCGCCGTCCTCGACACCCTGAGGGAGGGCACGCAGGTGAGAGAGGGGGCACGCAGGTGAGGGAGGGCAGGGGAATGAGGTAGGGGCCGCAGGTGAGGGAAGGCAGGCGGGGTGAGGGAGGGCAGGCGGGGTGAGGGAAGGCAAGCGGGTGAGGGAGGGCCCGCAGGTGAGGGAGGGGCCGCAAGTGAGGGAGGGGCCGCAGGTGAGAGAGGGGCCGCAGGTGAGGGAGGGGCCGCAGGTGAGGGAGGGGCCGCAGGTGAGGGAGAGGCCGCAGGTGAGGGAGAGGCCGCTGGTGTGAGTGTGCAAAAAATGTCAGGATTAATTTATGAGGAGAAATACTTAGGACTTCTACTGCACTAAATTAAAAAATTACTGTATGTAAAATTAATACTACTAAAAATCCTCAACTATGATTGTAAATCCTACTCCTCTTGTCCTAATGACAATTAACTGTAGGGGGCAGGTGGGTCTCTGAGGGTGAATGGAGTTGTTGATTGGAGATCTACATCCACCTGCAGACATATCAACACATCAGCGTGTATTTTTATACAAGGATAAGATTAAATTTTGTTCAGTTTTGATTAATTTAGATTAAATAAGTTCAGTTTTGCGAGTGAACACTGCTGTAGATCAAGTATGTGAACGATATACACAGTCCAGCCTAACTCTAATATTATCACGACAGCCAATATTCACATACTAATAAACTCAAGATAATTGAATTATACAAGTATGATATATGTAAATATGCAATCAAAGGTCCATAAATGCGGTCCAAGTACTGATATCTAGGTACAAGAAATTCTATTTGATATGATAAACTAATGATAAATTAATGATAGCTAAGTTAGCAATTGTTAACGATGTATAAGATCAATTATATATATACAGATAAATTCAAATTTATATGAAAAGTTTCAGTTGCTGAGAGATTAAATCAAAACTTACTGAAATTTAGGGCTTTGCCCTGCAGTGTAACGATTAACAATTTATGTGGCCATATTAAGGTTATGTTAGGATGAATGCAATTGGCCAATCAACAAACTACAAATAACACTCAAAACTTATCCAGAAATTGAGAACTGGAGCCTTATCTGACTAGTTACCAGACTGTATGTCTCTCTCGTGAGGAGACAGGCTTTATATTTTTAAGTCACAGCTTTGCTATTGAGAAGCTTTGCTAGTTGATTATGTCCTTAGTAGCTTTTGCTGTAGGCTAGGATTAAAATGATCGTGGTGGTGGAGGCGACGTCACTTAGTGTGCCAACTCTGCACACGCTCCATGTAAACAAACGTCAGCTGACTCTGGCGCTGCTCAGGGCGCTTGATCTCCAAGCAAGCCGGGCCTCCCTTTTGGTCTGGCAGGGAGGCCTATAAGTAATATTGATTGATTATTTTTATTGTCTATACAGATTATTGAAATAAAATGTGTTTAAAATATAATTAGATATAGGATTTAAAGATTATACGTAGTACTTGATAATACCATTGATTCTTATTAAGGATTTGATTCAATCCTCACCGGAAATCTATTGATGATCCAATTGTTTTTTAATTGATAGGTTCTTCTGGAACCTTCTAGATCCTTGAGAAATCGTGCACAATGTCACGTAGACACATATAGGCCCAATGGCGTACGTGATCATGGTAGCATTGTCATGTAGGCTCTAGTTGATGTAGGATATAATGAATCTGATGTGATTCCGATACGATATAGAAATAATACGTTTCTTAGGTAATAATATTGATAAAGTGGGTAACGTTTTCCACAAGGGGAGGGCACGCGGGTGAGGGAGGAGTTTCCTCCAACCCCCGTAGTAATGGTAGTGTTCAGCCTGCCCCCGTAGTAATGGTAGTGTTTCCTTCATCCCCCGTAGTAATATCAGTGTTTCTGGATGCAGATGACAGTGGTGGTGCGCCGGGGCCCAGGACACTACGAGCTCTTGGTCTCCCATGTAGACCACACCAACACCATGCGGTAAGTTCCGACGCCAAGCGGTAAGTTCACAGCGCCATTCGGTAAGTTCCAACACCATGTAAGTTCCAAATTATAATAAATAATAAGTTATTATTAAATTGCAGGCAGGAGGCCAACGGTGAGGCATGGAGAGGAAGACATATTATACACAAGGTTGACTACTCTACAGTGATGTTACTCTCTATATGTTCTGGGAGTCTGAGATATGGCTCTACTGAACAGCTAGGCTCTTATTATTTACTAATCACAATTTAGATAGACCAGGGACATTAAATATCTTGATGAATTGAGTACACATTATTTTTAATTTATATTTAATTAGAAATTACAAATCCTGCTCTGTCCACATTCTACTCATAACTAAACCATCCTCCCCCCACCCCACTGTAGGAAGTGTGTATTCACCTAGTTGTGCTTGCGGGGGTTGAGCTTTGGCTCTTTGGTCCCGTCTCTCAACTGTCAATCAACTGGTGTACAGATTCCTGAGCTTACTGGGCTCTATCATATCTACATTTGAAACTGTGTATGGAGTCAGCCTCCACCACATCACTGCCTAATGCATTCCATTTACTAACTACCCTGATAAGATTTACATTTACCTATGTTATACAGGCACTAGAAATTGATAACAATAACCAATATATAGTTTACTAGCAATGCAATTCAAATAATAAATAAACTTAACGACTTAATCCCACAACAACTCGTGAAGTGTAGATGATGTTAACCTCAGATGGAGGCTGGTCAACCTCATGTCTCAATTAATGTCAAACTCTTGACCGAAATAATCACAACTTTCTACATACCACAACTATGTCACATAACATCATGTTCATCATACCACCACCACCACCATGAATCCATATCATGTTCACCATACCACCACCACCACCATGAACCCATGTCATGTTCACCATACCACCATGAACCCATATCATGTTCACCATACCACCACCACCACCATGAACCCATATCATGTTCACCATACCACCACCACCACCATGAACCCATATCATGTTCACCATACCACCACCATGAACCCATATCATGTTCACCATATCACCACCACCACCATGTTCACCATAGCATAATGTTCTTTTTTACCATATCACTGCTCTATAGTATACTATTCCCCTGTTACACTTTGTTATCATAACATAATTGTCATGACACCATTTTCGCCAACCAACTATTTTCATGAGGACATTGAACATGAGGACACTGTTCTTCATAACACTAGAACCTAAACACTGTGTTCATCATAATGCTGTTCACTTCAAATATAACACCATAGTTAAATGTTCACCAATGTGTAAAAATTGCTACGAGGCAAATGAGCTCTATGGGAAATGTATCCGTTCCTCCGAAGGACACTGGGAGTGAACACCACCTTCACCCGCCCGCAGGTTAGAACACATTGGATGGTGGAAGTGGAGCTCTTCCCGCGGGGCCACCAGCTACCTCCAGAGGCCCCTCTATCGCGATCTCAGCGAGGTCTACAGCGACTTCGGCGGCCGGGTGCTGCGGTCGGCGGCGGTGGAGAACTGGCCCTACTTCCAGGTCACACCGCAGGCCGATGGCTCCATCAAGGCGGACTCTGGGATTGATTATAACATCCTGACCACCGTGGGTGAAAAGCTCAACTTCACGTAAGCAATAGCTGGTAGAACCATAGAAACGCTTTGCGTAATAGTGGCTTTAGGCATTGTATGTACTAGCTCTATCTATGAATCCATCAATTTTTGTATCACACCTTGTATGTATGTACTTTACCTAAATAAACATTTGAATTTGATGTTTTTTGAGGCATGTTTTTTTCACATTTGTGAGAATTGCAAAATTTACGGGTTTCACAAAGTATTTTTTTTCAGTTTTCACGTTGTTGAATAGGCTCCCAGAGTTAGAGGTGATATTCCAGTACATGTTATGTGTATAAAACATAGCTGTAGTGATTATTATGCTTTTCAGCTTTAATTACTTTATTTTTAACATTTGTAACCTTTTTTTTTGTATTAGCAGGGTAGAGTTTAAGATCTTGGGTTCAGTCATTAGGCTTGCCTCACCCATTGAACCTGCAATAAAATTTCGCCCGTCAATTTTTAACTTATGCAACAAATCCATAGACTCATTCTATTTATTGATTATGCAAACTGAAGAATCATCTCGCGGCAGCCCATCCTCCTGTTTTTGGTAGTATTTAAAGTAACGATGAGGACCATAGCACATATACCGACGAACAACGCAATTAGAAAGTAAAAATCGGTACTATTGTATTTGGACAAACCGGAAGCGATTTTCTACTATGTTACAAAGACAAACTGCTAAGAAGGTTAGTAGCCTAACCTTCTTAGGTCTAATACACGCTATCTTCGGCCTTATATACTACATATGTGTGCTATACTAGGCCTAGAAATATTTAAGCTCTTTTAGTTTAATTTTCTCGGACTATAAAGTGAATAGTACAAAAATCTACTCTCTAATTCCTTAGTACATCAGTCTTTGTACTATGGCGCACATAGTTACAAAAAGTACTATCTAAAGAGGAGGCCGGGTCGCTGACGAAGTCTTCCACCGCAGGTTCCTATTGGTCGAGGCTAAGGACGGTCAGTGGGGAGGCAAACTGGCCAACGGTACAATCACCGGCATGATCGGCCTGGTGGCCAGACACGAGGCCGACGTGGCCATCGACGAGCTCACCATAACAGGTAATCCTCGAAGGTGTTCCTCAACCCCCTGTTCAAAATGGACCCGGATTCACGAAGCAGTTACGCAAGCACTTACGAACCTGGGGCCAGATTTAAGAAGCAGTTACGCAAGCACTTACGAACCTGGGGCCAGATTCACGAAGCACTTACGCAAGCACTTACGAGCCTGGAGCCAGATTCACGAAGCAGTTACGCAAGCACTTGCAAACCTGTCCCATCATTTCTCAATCTTTGGCGGCTTTGTTTACAATTATTAAACAGTCAGTAAGCTCCGAAGCATCAGGAGGCTGTTTATAACAATAACAACAGTTGATTGGAAAGTTTTCATGCTTGTAAACTGTTTAATAAATGTAACCAAAGCCGTCAAAGATTGAGGAAAGATGTACACGTTCATAAGTACTTGCGTAACTGCTTCCTGAATCTGGCCTATGGTTCGTAAGTGCTTGCGTAACTGCTTCGTTAATCAGGGTCCTGCTCTTGCAACCCCTCTCTTAAACCTCGCACTTGAGTGATTCAAACTGCATTGTCAATAAGAGTAAATGATGTCAGTTTACCTGAAAGTTTACAATAACTGTGTATGGTGTGAGTATGAGTTTACCTACAGCGCCCCGGGGGTTGATTGTCGACTTCACGGCGCCCTACTACCTGGAGGCTACGACTCTCGTCTCTCCAGCACCCACCGAGAAGAACAGGGCCTTCGCTGTCTTCTCTCCCTTCTCAGCCCAGGTACTCTCTCTTCTTCCTTCTCAGCCCAGGTACTCTCTCCTCTCCCTTCTCAGCCCAGGTACTCTCTCCTCTCCCTTCTCAGCCCAGGTACTCTCTCCTCTCCATTCTCAGCCCAGGTACTCTCTCCTCTCCCTTCTCAGCCCAGGTACTCTCTCCTCTCCATTCTCAGCCCAGGTACTCTCTCCTCTCCATTCTCAGCCCAGGTACTCTCTCCTCTCCCTTCTCTGCCCAGGTACTCTCTCCTCTCCCTTCTCCGCCCAGGTACTCTCTCTTCCTTCTCAGCTCAGGTACTCTCTCCTCTCCCTTCTCAGCCTGCCCAGGTACTCCCTCTTCCACGTCTCCTGTTGACTATACTAGCTTCCTGTGGTGACTGGTCTTGGCTTCCTGTGGTGACTGGTCTTGGCTTCCTGTGGTGACTGGTTTTGGCTCCCTGTGGTGACTGGCCTTAGCTCCCTGTGCTAACTGATCTTAGCTTCCTGTGCTGGCTGGTCTTAGCTTCCTGTGGTGACTGGTTTTGGCTCCCTATGCTAACTGGTCTTAACTTCCCATTATACGTAATAGTCAGTTACGAGTCCACTTTAAAGAGCAGTATCTCCTATCTCAATCACGGCATCTTAGTGGTATTCATTAATGAGTTTGCGGCGGCGTCTCACCTCTAGCTTGCTGTTAGGTACGATCTCGTTGCACTTCAGAGCTCATAAGCTTTCAGTAATCACCGACTATGCCGCCATGATCATAAGATACACAGGTGTCGTTAGTAGGCACAGAAGTGCTTTGTGAATCGGGTCGTGTTTGCTGACCTCAACTCATCGCTTCTCCTCCTGTCGTCTGGACGTTAGGATTAAGGTATTTTGTAGGATTAAGTACTATTAAGGTTAGTTGCAGATGCTCTTTTGTTTTATAAGTATTGTACATAGGCCGTCATATATCTTATAATCGGTGTGACGTCGTAGATTCTTTGTAAATAAACGCCATGGTGTCCAGACCTGTGTTTCCCTCCACGTCTACACGTGACAGTGGCGACGAGGATGGAATGCCCGATAGTCAAATTCAAATATTTCAAATAGTGTCGTCTGCAACCCGTCCTCTCAAATAATACACCGTAGTTTGACCCTAAAATCCGCCAACGGACAAAATAAGGAATGCTATGAAGACTAACAGCTGACAAAACAACCTCGTTTTCTATGAGTCACTTAGATCGGTAACTTGAGTTTACGTGTTTTAGTAGCCTTTAATTGTGCCCGTTGTGGTAAAACTCCAGAGGACGAGTGAACTATCTGCTCTGGTTGACCTGACAGCTGTGGGTGACGCTGTGTGTGGTGACCCTGTGTATGGGACCTGTACTGAGGCTGGTGACCTGGTTGAGAGGTCTTGGCATCAAGCAGGACGAGAAGCAGCGCACCTTGCAGACCTTCTCCTTCAATGCGTTCCGCGTGCTGGTGGTCCAGACCAACCGCATCATCTCCAAGCACTGGGAGCTTCGCTTGATCTTCTTCACCTGGTACTTCTTCTGCTTCGTGGTTTATGGTGAGTGTCTTCGGTGATGACTTAGTGCCCGCTCCAGGGTACTCAACAGCCTCTACTTTCCCTTGGGCTCAATGGGCGATGTTTCCTTTACCTATGGGCTCACTGCATGCTGTATTCTTTACTTGTGGGTTCACTGCATGCTGTATTCTTTACTTGTGGGTTCACTGCATGCTGTATTCTTTACTTGTGGGTTCACTGCATGCTGTATTCTTTACTTGTGGGTTCACTGCATGATGTATTCTTTACCTGTGGGCTCGCTGCATGCTGTATTCTTTACCTGTGGGCTCACTGCATGCTGTATTCTTTACCTGTGGGCTCACTGCATGCTGTATTCTTTACCTATGGGCTCACTGCATGCTGTATTCTTTACTTGTGGGCTCACTGCATGCTGTATTCTTTACCTGTGGGTTCACTGCATGCTGTATTCTTTACTTGTGGGCTCACTGCATGCTGTATTCTTTACCTGTGGGTTCACTGCATGCTATATTCTTTACTTGTGGGCTCACTGCATGCTGTATTCTTTACCTGTGGGTTCACTGCATGCTGTATTCTTTACTTGTGGGCTCACTGCATGCTGTATTCTTTACTTGTGGGCTCACTGCATGCTGTATTCTTTACCTGTGGGTTCACTGCATGCTGTATTCTTTACCTGTGGGCTCACTGCATGCTGTATTCTTTACTTGTGGGCTCACTGCATGCTGTATTCTTTACCTGTGGGTTCACTGCATGCTGTATTCTTTACCTGTGGGCTCACTGCATGCTGTATTCTTTACTTGTGGGTTCACTGCATGCTGTATTCTTTACTTGTGGGCTCACAAGTACTCACCTAGTTGTACTTGCGGGGGTTGAGCTTTGGCTCTTTGGTCCAGCCTCTCAACTGTCAATTAAAAAGTGCTATTTGCACTGAGGAAATTCGCCCAAAAATAGGCTAATGTTTATCATATTTTACTGGGTTCAAAAATATTGTCAAGACCTTAAAACCTCTTGATGCTCATGTGGTGTTTAATTCTGAAAATGTAATTGAAAAATTATTAGTTAGAAACAGTCCTCGTAGTGATAAATTAAAGATTGATAAAGTAAAGATTGTAATACATTTTATAGAGGTTATGCATCCTAAGAGAGGAACTTTAGGTCTTCTGGTTCCATATACACCCAACCTCTTCGTGACTTCAAATGGCTATCCTATTTTAAAAACATACTTAGATATGGTTTTACTCAAGCAACCATCTCAACCAACCAATCAATCAGATTCAGATGAGATGTTTATTCAGGTAAGGTACATACATACAAGTGATGTTACATTAATGGATTGATATATAGATAGAGCTAGTACATACAATGCCTAAAGCCACTATTACGCAATGCGTTTCGGGCAAGAAAAAAATTAATATCTAGAACTTAATACTAATTGAGCATAAAGAATAAAAAGTGTTGAGAACAAATACAAATAAAGATAAAAAAAAAGGGGGAACATGACTGAAAAAGCAGCACAAATACAATAGGTTGACAAACAGTGTTGATTAAAAAAAAAAGAAAATAACAGCCATGGGTTGACAATAGAGGAGTGAGGTAGGTTACAGGGAATTTATTAGGTAGTGTTTAGTTTTTATCTTAAACTGGTTGAGAGAGGTACAGTCTTTAACATGGTTGGGAAGGTCATTCCACATTCTGGGCCCCTTGATTTGTAGAGCATTTCTGGTTTGATTAAGTCGTACTCTAGGAATATCAAAACTGTATTTATTTCTGGTGTGGTGCTCATGGGTTCTGTTACAACCTTCTATGAAGCTTTTGAGATCAGGATTGGCATTACAATTTAGCGTTTTGTATATGTATAGTACACATGAGAGAATGTGCAGTGACTTAATGTCTAACATATTCAGGGATTTGAATAGGGGTACCGAGTGATGTCTGGGGCCAGAATTGGATATTGTCCTAATAGCAGCTTTGTGTTAAGTAATTAGAGGACGTAAATGATTTTGGGTAGTAGAGCCCCAAGCACAAATACCATAGTTGAGATATGGATAGATAAGGGTAGATAATAGATAATCAATTAATCAAGATAATAGATAATCAATTAACCAACCAACCAATCACCTAACCAACCCTTCCTCCAGCTAAACCAGTCAGCCCACAGAGCCTTCGGTACACCACTTCGACTTCCTCTACTTTCAGCGATGTACTCGGGTACGTTGACGGCGGTGTTGGCGCTCCCGTCCTTCGAGAAGCCCATCGACTCTCTGGCCGACCTACTGTACGCCGTCAAGCACAAGAAGTACAAGCCCATCGTCGTTCTCGGCACCAGCAACGAGTTCGTCTTCAGGGTGAGGTGGACGAGCCAGGCAGACGTAGTACTGTTTCAGGACATTTCTTAAGTTGACTATAATTGCTGCTGTAAACAATGTGAATATCGTGAACAAATCCACAAGGACCGTTATCTTGAGGTTATCTTGAGATGATTTCGGGGCTTTTTAGTGTCCCCGCGGCCCGGTCCTCGACCAGGCCTCCACCCCCAGGAAGCAGCCCGTGACAGCTGACTAACACCCAGGTACCTATTTTACTGCTAGGTAACAGGGGCATAGGGTGAAAGAAACTCTGCCCAATGTTTCTCGCCGGCGCCTGGGATCGAACCCAGGACCACAGGATCACAAGTCCAGCGTGCTGTCCGCTCGGCCGACCGGCTCCCTGTGACCGTGACGAGGATTCGAACCTACGTCCTAGAGGATCCCAGACGCTGCCTTAATCAACTGAGCTACGACATGGTTAAATTAAGCACGATTTCCTGGTTGCAATTCTTTTAACCATGTCGTAGCTCAGTCAATTAAGGCAGCGTCTGGGATGATCTCGGACGTAGGTTCGAATTCTCGTCATGGCCCTTGTGGATTTGCTCATTTATTTATTTATTTATTTATTTATATATATACAAGAAGGTACATTGGGTTTGTGAGAATACATTGGGTAGTACAGTATTTACATTCTTGTAAAGCCACTAGTACGCGCAGCGTTTCGGGCAGGTCCTTAATCTAGCAGATAATTTTAAGTAGGTAATTTCAATCAGAATTGATAAATGATAAAGATACATTACAAGAGAAAATGAGATGAGAGAGCTTAGTAAGTATATTAAAGCACATTGTTATATTAAAGCTCTGATTAATTACATTGACAGCTTGATTAGTAATTTAAACAAGGTTAATAGACACCATACAGCAGATTGTCAGCACATATAAGACAGCAATGATCACAATGGTAAAGATGTTCAGATTGGGTACATAAAGATTGGGAGACTGGGTAGCAAAAGATACAGATGAACAAGATTTATAAACACCATACAACAGATTGGCAGCACATATAAGAAAACAGCAATGATCACAATGGTAAAGATGTTCAAATTAGGAACATAAAGGTTGGGAGATTGGGTAGCAATTGATACAGTGCAATTTTAAGGCAAAAAGTGAAAAACTATGAAGATGAAATTAGGTACTTTTTAGTATTGATTTTGAATGATGTAAAAGTTGGACAGCTTTTCAATTCAGTAGGGAGTGAGTTCCATAAACTGGGTCCCTTTATTTGCATAGAGTGTTTACACAGATTAAGTTTAACTCTGGGGATATCAAAGAGATATTTATTTCTGGTGTGGTGATTTGATACATCACGCTATTGTGATTTTTGTGTGTAATGTGAATATCCATTGGAAAATACATATTCCGACTTATTAACAGTTAACAAAATACAATAATAGAAAAATATATAATAGCAAACGAAATTGAATTTTGATAAATACTACGATACTCTTTATTTACATTGGATAATGCATGAGAGGTTATTTGGAGTGTCGAAGTTCATGCCTATTGGACCGAATGCCTTACTGAACATGCAACCCGTCCTCTTAAAAATAACGTCAGTTTTCGCTCGTATGCGCACTATGCCCAAATTTGGACGTAATTTGAAAGGAAATCGACTCGCAAAAGTGACGTTCTGTTCCGTTTTCTATTTGAGTCGTCCGGCCTATGCGCAGAGGTTATAAGAGGACACTTTAAATTAACGTTTTTCATACCGTTTTGAAATTTTATGAGAATTTCCTGCCCACCTAACCTATCAGAGGACCCTTAACTTACTGTTGTTGAAAAAAAAATCCCAAATTTATTTTAATTTTTTTTCATTTTCAAATTACGTCCAAATTCGGCCATACTGGCAAACGGCCAAAAGCGACGTTCTTTTTAAGAGGACAGGTTGCAACATGACCATTCAATCCCCGACCGTCCAAGTGGGTGGGCACCATTCCTCCCTTACCCCCCCCCCCCCACCGTCCCATCCCAAATCCTTATCCTATCCCCTTCCAAGTGTTATATAGACGTAATGGCTTGGCACTTTCCCTTGATAATTCCCCCCCTCCGGCCCGTTGGCGCCATGAGGAGGCTTGGTGGTCGGCTGCCGGAGTGTGATGCTCCATGAGACAGTCCTCTGTCCTTTTGCGGCCTTATGCTCCTGCTGCTGTCTTCTCCCATTGTGACGGATCGCTTTTCCTTTTCCTTATGTTTTGTTTTTCTCCCCCCCTCTTCTCCTATCTGCTTGTCGTTTCCTGCCGACCCTTTGCTTGTTTTGGTTATTCTTTTGGACTTCTATTTTGACGCCCGGGTGCTTGGGGAGGCATAATCTTGCGCCGATAGAACTGTAGTATCCAACGTCGCGAGCGAGGGGGAACCTTTTATTGTCACTCCTCCTTTCGTCACTGAACCCGATCTCGACGGACTGATGGTTCATAAGGTGGCATTTGTGGGGCATATACTCACGACGCACCCCTAGGGGGCCCCGACATGATCAGTGATAGCTTCTTGTTAGGTGTCCTGCCTTTAATTGTGGCTCTATGGTGGGCACATTTGTGAATGAATGTTTTTCGTCTCGTCTGAATGTCTAATTCTGTTCCTCTTCTACCTTCTCGGGCTCGTGGGGTGGGTGACCAAGCCCCCGAGTCGGACCGTGTTGCAAGACTGGGCTCTGTAGCCCCCGCTGCATTGGGCCCCGACCTTGCTCCTCCTCTGACCCTCCTGACTACTCCACTCGGCTCCCCTCCCTCCTCTGTGGTTGGGTCGAGCCCCAAGCCCCCAGTGGTGACCACCTCGTCCCTTGGCACGGCTCAGTCTCTAGTAGTGACTACTGCACCTTTTAACCCCTCTCTCTCTCTCTCTGGGGGTTCTCAACGCCGTCCTCGCCACGGCCGCGCTCGCTCGATTCCTTCCCGTACTGATGCGTTTCAAGCCTTGTTTGGTCCCGCTTCGTGGGCAAAATACTTTGATCTCCTCCCTCTTGATTCTTCGCCTCCTGACGATTTCTCCCTCCATAGGCACCTTGTCGATTCAGTAGACGCCTCTGTTACCTTCAACCCCACCCATCTCTGTACGTGTGTCATTGCTGCTCCTTCTCAGGATGCAGCCTCCTGCTTGGCCGCCTTATCCTGCCTTGGCGAGACCCCTGTTCGGGTCTCCAAGAACGCTCGGTTAAATGCCAGTGTTGGCACTATTCTCCTCCCGCCCTATGTTGTGATTGGTGTTCGGAATCTGCAGGACTGCCACGAAGATACTCGGCATGTTCTCGAAGCCCAAGGCCATTCTGTCCTCCAGGTGGACTCGTTTACTCGTCCCCCTTGTGGCCATCGCCGTCAACCCCTTCGGGTTGTGAAGATTACCTTTGATGGTAGGACCCTTTCGCCCTCTGTCATTCTTGCTGGTGCCAAGTGCTCCGTCCAGGCATACATTCCCTCTCCTCGGCTCTGTAATAAGTACTGGAGGTTTGGGCATGGAGCCCTCAGCTGCTCCAGTACTGTCTCTCTCTGTCCTGTGTGTGGGGACGAGGGTCACTCGTCCCCACAAGTGACGTCCCGTAAAGTGACCCTCGTCCCCAGGGTCACTTTAAGTCGGAGTGCACTTCTCCCCAGGCTCGCTGCCTCAATTTCCGGTGAGGCCCACCCTACCTTCTTCTGCACGTGCATACATTACAAGCTTGAGGCAGCCGTCCTCAACTTGAAGCACCGGGAACGTTTGTCTTTTCCTGAGGCGAGGCACCAAGTTCACCGTCTCCCCTTATGCTATTGTCTCTTATGCTTGCGTGTTGCCCTCTTCCTCTCCTTGTCGTTCTCGCCTTCCTCAGTCTCACAACCGTTTCCGGGTCTTAGACCCAGACGCTCCCACCGCCTCATCTTCTGTTCCTTTATGTTCTGTCCCGGAGGGTCCCCCTCCTACCCCTCTGTCTGGGGTTCCTCTTCATTCTTCCCAGTCTGTCGTGTCTCCTGTGTCTTCTTCCTCGTCTCCCTCCGATCCTCCTTCCCATCTTTCTCCTCCGTCTCTTAGCTCTCCACGCCGCCTGTCAGTGCGGACTGATGTCTATCACTCTCCCACCGGCCGTCGTGTTTGCTCTCGTTCTGTTTCTCCTGTTGAAACACTAGAACCTGTTGCCCAGTACATTGTTGCTGGGACGCCTGTCTCTTTGAGTCAGAAGCGTAAGCCTGGCTCCTCTCCTTCCTCCTCCCCGGCAGGTAAGAAGGCTTTGCTTTCTTCCTCGTCCCCTACCTCTGACTCTCTTGCTCCATCCCCTCCCGCTTCGGTGGTTCCACCCCGTTTCTGCTATGGAGGTTTCTTTGGCCCCCGCTCCCCTCTCGGTTGCTGCCCTTGCTGAAGTGCCCTCCCTGGTTTTTGCCCCTCCTGCTGCTGTTCTTGACCCTCGATTGTCCCCCCTCTTTCCCCTCCAGACCCTGCTCGTCCGCCCCTGGTCGGTTGATCCTGCGCTTCTTTAACGTACTGTGTTCCCTTTTCGCCTTTGTTTCTTCGTTGTTCTCTGTAGCTGTCCTTTCTCTTCCTGTCGATGTCTATTCTTCAATGGAACATTCGTGGTTATTACAGCAATTTCCTTGAACTCCAACTTCGGTTTTAACGATTTTTGCCCCTTTGTCTCCAGGAGCCGATGCTTTGTGCTCGTCCTGGTTGCTTTCGTGGCTATTCCTTTCTCTCCCTCCCCCCAGCCGCACCGTCTTCGACGCTGCCCTCTGCTCTATTCCTCGCTCTTCTCAGGGAACGCAGAAGTGCGTTCCCTGGTGGAATGTGGACTGTGCTCGGGCTGTCCGCTGTAAGCATGCAGCCTGGAAGAGACATCGTCGCCGGCAGACACCTGAATCTTTTCTTTTGTTTCGGAAGGCAAGTGCAGTGGCCCCGTAGGATCATCCGTATGGCTAAACGTGCATGTTGGATGTCTTATGTCTCCACTATCACGTCCGAAACTCCTCTCCCGTTGATCTGGGAGCGTATCCGCAAGATAGCAGGTAAGTTTGTTCCCGATGTCTCTCCAGTCTTTCACCTCGGTGGAACTCTTGTGGCGGACCCATTGCTGGTCGCGACTGAATTTGGTTCCCACTTTTCGTCTGTTAACTCTGGTTCTCATCTCCCCCATTCCTTCCTTCTTCGTAAGCCTCTTTCTTGAATCTCGTCCTTTGGATTTCTGTACCCATCTCTACCTTTGCTATAACGATCCCTTCTCTCTCTCTCTCTCTCTCTCTCTCTCTGAGCTCGAGATGCTTCACAATCTCCCTCTGTGCACGTCTCAGTATTTACCGAGTCTGTTTAATCGGGTCTGGGAGTCGTCGTCAGTCCCTGAGGACTGGCTCGATGCTGTCGTCCTCCCTGTTTGGAAACCAGGGTCTCTCGGGTCATCCCCCAAGGACTTCCGCCCTATTGCCCTCACAAGTTGTCTGCAAGCTCTTTGAACGTATGGTTAATGTTCGTCTGATGTGGTTCTTAGAGCACTATCACCACCTCTCCCTTTCTCAATTTGGTTTTCGCAAGTGCCACAGCACAACGAATGTCCTGGTGAACTTGGAGGTCTATATTCGTACTGCTTTTGTTGTGAAGACCTCTGTTGTTGCCGTCCTTTTTGACCTGGAAAAGGCTTACGACACTACCTGGTGGTATCGTATTCTGTCCCAATGTCATTCTTTTGGCCTTTATGGGAATCTCCCGCTCTTCCTCCCAAGGTTTCCTCTCTTGTCGTTTCTTTCGAGTAAGGCTTGGTGCCACGCCACTTTCTCTGCCCCTTTTAGGCAATATGAGGGCGTGCACCAAGGTAGTGTTCTGAGCACTACTCTTTTTCTTGTTGCTCTTAATGGTTTTCTTTCCTCCCTTCCTTCTGGCATCTTCACTGCTCTCTTATGTAGATGATCTTGCCCTTTGCTGTCGGGGTGGTGATTCACCTCTCCTTCAATGGCTGCTTCAACTTGCGATTGATGCCGTGTCGTCTTGGGCCACCGATCACGGCTTCAAGTTTTCTGCATCCAAGACTTGTGATATGACTTTTACTCGGAAGCATGTCATTCTTTGTCCCTCTCTGTCACTTTATGGACATCCCCTTGTGTACAAGGATTCCGCTAAGCTTCTAGGGCTAATCTTTGACACTCGTTTGTCTTGGTCAGCCCATATCTCTTACCTCCGTGCTGAATGCTCTAAGGCCCTTTCCCTCCTTAAGCTTTTGTCCCATACTTTTTGGGGGGGCAGATAAGCGTACACACCTCTCTTTACATTCCTCACTCGTCGTGTCTAAACTCGATTATGGTTGCCCTGCTTACTCGTCCACTTCTCCTTCTACTCTTCGCCGTCTTGAAGCTTTGCACCATGCTGGGTTGCGCCTCAGCTCTGATGCCTTTTGTTCGACTCCCACCCTCAGCTTGTATGTTGATACTGGTTTCCTATCTCTCCTGGACCGCTGTGATCGTTACTGTCTTCGCTATCTGGCGCAGTCCTTGCAACATCCTTCCTCTTGCCTCTGTCATGCTTTGACTTTTACCCCTCCTGTAGTTCTTGTTCCTCTTCACCACCTCCCTCTTTCTGTCCAGCTATCTCGCTTGCAGGACTCTTTCCATTCGTCTTTCTCATATTTCTCCTCATATTGTTCCTTCCTTGCCCCCGTGGAGGGACCTCCTTCCGAAGTTTTGTACATCCTTGACCCGCATTACTAAAGCTTATACTCCTATGGTTCTGAAACGCCTTTTTCTTGAGCACTTTTCTTCATACTCCCGCTCCGTTTCCGTCTTCACCGATGACGGTGAAGATTAGGTTAGGTTAGGTGAGGTGAGGTGAGATGAGATGGGGTCTAAGTCTGCGGACGGTGTGGGCTACTCTGTTGTTTTTCCTGACCGCACTTATATGTGTCGCCTCTCTTCGGAGACTAGCATCTTCACAGCGGAACTTTATGCTATTCTCTATGCTCTCCATCTCCCGTTTTCTCGTTGTCAATCCCCCTTTGTGATTGTAGTTGACTCTTGTAGTGCCCTCATGGCTCTCGGGTCCTTTATTCCTGTCCATCCGGTAGTCGTCGAGATTCAACATTGGCTGTTTCTTATCTCTAGTAAATTTAAATCCGTAGAGTTTTGCTGGGTTCCCCAGCCATATTGGTATTTCTTTAAATGAGCGTGCGGATGCTGCCGCTAGAGAGGCTATCTGCTCGTGTCCCATTTCCCGTGAAGGTTTTCATTTTTCCGACTTTTATCCAGTTATTCATTCCTCCATCCCTGCCCATTGGCAGGGTTGTTGGTCTTCTGTTGTTGGTAACAAACTGCGTACTCTTAAGCGTTGTGTCCCTGTGGCCTTCCTCTTTCCACCGTAACCGGCGGTGGTAAATGGCTCTAGCACGGTTGCGTCTTGGCCATACTCACTTAACTCACGGTCACTTAATGGAGCGCCGCCCAGCTCCTTATTTTCCAAATTGCATTGCCCCTCTTACCGTCGTGCATATCCTTGTTGAATGTGCTGACTTCCAGGACGAGTGTGTCTTACTTTCCGACCGTCCCTCGTGGTCACTTGTCCCTCGATAGACTTCTTGGTGAATCGGATATTTTTTATATCGTTTGCCTTGTGCGTTTCTGTTCTCGTATTGATATCCTTGGTGATATTTAGTGCCCTCTGATTATTCCGCACATTTGATGGTGCTACATAACTTCCCGGTTTGGTGCCTTCTTTTGATAATTACTGACTTGTATGTCTGAACGGACAACCAGCTGGTATTCCCTCTCGCTGCTATTCCCTCCTGCTGGTATTATTTAATGCTGATTTCTACTGTTTTTGGTGGTGGTACAGGAGGCGAAGAGCGGGATATACAAGGAAGTTTGGGACGTATTCGACCCCAAGGTTGGCTACGTGGAGAACTACAGCGCCGGGATGGACAAGGTTAGTGGCCCCTCCACCTCTACCACACCTGCCACCATCACCTACACCTTCCCCTCGTATCCCCTCCCCACTTTCTTCTCTCACTACGTCTCTCGGTGGGGCCCCACCACTGTCTTGTGTCACAAGCCCCACGACCGTTTTGTCACAAGCTAGGCCCCCACCACCGTTGTCACTAGGCCTCCACCACCGTGTTAACATCTCCCTTTTTCTCTCCCTTATGTATTGTTTTGATTCGTGGTCCGAGCCATCTTCTCCTTCGCCAGGTGCCGAAGGGAAAATATGTGTTCCTCAACGCTAAGTTGGGCGCCGAGATCCGGGCGGTGGTGAGGGGCAAGAACAAGTACTACTTCGCCAAGACCTCCTTTTACCCCCAAGGCTACGGCATCGTCTGCACCAAGGGCTCCCCCTACAGGGACATCGTCAGCAAACTGTAAGTCACCTCTTCGGGTTGGTTCAGCACTTAATGAGAGCTTTGAGCTGACTCTCTGAGTCAGAACGGTTGGTTACTTTGATGATACAAATGTGAGCGGTGTTAGTCTCGGTGTTTTAGTGTGAATAGTCTGTACAGACCAGCACAGCGCTGGCTTTCGACTATCTTCTTCTGCGCTCCCACTGAGGTCAACGTGGTTGGGCACCGTTCCTCGTTGTTGTTTTAGATTTAGCTACTGGGAACAAAAGTTCCAAGTAGCACGAGTTATGGTGAGTGCGTAGTGGACTTACTGGCACAGGAGCGGTGCTGTAAATAACTGGATGGAATTTGTTCATTGGATGGACCGTTCCTTCATTCTATCCTCAAATCATAATTCCTCGTCCTCATAGCCCTTCCAAGTGCTACAGTGGCTTAATACCTCTTTTACCATAATTTTACCATAATTCCTGCCCGAAACGCTTTGCATAATAGGGGCTTTAGGCATTGTATGTACTAGCTCTATAAATCCATCAATGTTTTGTATCTCACCTTGTTTGTATGTACTTTATCTGAATAAATATTTGTATTTGTATTTATACCAGCTCTCATAAACATCCTTAATATAGAGAGTTTTGTCCTCCCTCAGGCTCACTCGATTTGGGTCGGCGGGACTAGTACTGAAGTGGATTAAGGACGAAGTTAGGAAAGTGTCCAAGCGGGAGATCCACCCATCTACCGGTCCGGGAGCCATTACCATGGTGCACCTACAGGCTGCCTTCTTCCTCCTGACTATGGGATACCTTCTGGCGGGGTCGACTCTACTGGTGGAGAAACTCGTCCACTTTCATCTGGACAGCCTAGCCGGGGGGAGGTTCAGCAAGACTGGTATCCGCAGCCATAGAGAGCAAGGAAAAGGAATACCCAGAAATTTGAATAAAAGCAACTTTAGCCACAAATTTGATGTATAAGATGAATAAATGCCAATAGTAGTCTTCACTAACCCTAATCTGAAAATATATATATCCCTGTAACAATGCCTAATATACACTTTTTGATACACTTTTTGTGAACCTCACAAAGCACGTTTGAACTTCTTAAGTGTTTTCTCTGTAATGAAGTATGCAACCTGAGCAAATATACTGTTCACTGGGCAATAAATGAACTTGTAGTACTCTTCACATGTGAAGGAAAACCAGCAAACATTTCTCACGAGACAACACTAACATAACTTTGTAGTTTAAAAAAATAAATAAATTATTTCTCGACCTAAATTAATGACTTTTAGAGGAGCCGCCATCTTCCTGGTGACTCCTAGAGGAGGGGAAGGGAACTATCAGGAGAAGCACCAAGCCATTACGACTATATAGCACTGGGAAGGGGTCAGGATAAGGATTTGGGATGGGACGGGGGGAAGAAGTGGTGCCCAACCACTTGTGGACGGTCGGGGATTGAACGCAGACCGTCACCAAGAAGATGGTAGCTCCTAAAGGAGCTACCATCTACTTATTGTCCCACCGACTCCTCGAGAGTGAGAGAAAGCCATCTTCTGGAATGTTTTAACTATACTAAATACTTAAATCTATTAATAAAAAACATGACCTTGAGAAGTATAGGTTAGGAATTGTCTCCAAAGAATTCTCAAAGAATTACTCATTATTGCTATATAAGATAATTAGACGAGCCAAAACCAAATACTACGAAGATAAATTTACCCAAATAAAGAGCAACATTAAACAAACTTGGAGAACAATTTCACAAATATTGGGATCAAAGAAGTCTTTAAATAACAAACCGACTTTCCTGTCTAATAACGATGGTCAGCTTTCAGCCTCTGATTCTGCTATTGAGTTCAATAGGTTCTTCTCTTCCATTGGTTCATCCCTTGCTAATGATATTCCATCTTCCAGTACTGACATCAAGGACTATCTTACAGGTAACTATCCACAGTCTCTGTACCTAAAGCCTATTAATTCCACTGACGTCAATGAGATAATCCTTTCCCTTAAAACCAAGTCTGGTGCCCTTGAGGAGATACCAACTTTAATCTACAAAAAAACCTCCAGATCTTTAGCCCCTGCTATTGCTTTGCTCTTCAACAAGTCACTTGAACTCCAAACCTTTCCAGATATACTAAAAAAAGCGAGAGTAACGCCTGTCCACAAATGTGGTGATCTCACAGATGTTAACAACTACAGACCTATATCAATCCTGCCAAACTTGTCAAAAATTTTTCAAAAACTAATCTATAAGCAGCTTTACTCATATCTAGCCAAACTCAATATACTTTGCCCTTGCCAATATGGCTTCAGGCCCAAAAAAAGCACTAACGATGCACTTATTAGTATGCTTAACTCGATTCATACAGCTCTTGATAAAAATGAGTTCCCTGTTGGGTTATTTGTGGACCTGCGTAAAGCTTTCGATACTGTCAACCACCAAAACCTTCTTCTTAAATTACATCATTATGGTGTCAGAGGACACTCCCTACAATACCTCAAATCCTACCTTACTGACAGGTTCAAATGTGTTTCTGTGAATAATACAATTTCTCCCACCCTACCCATCAACATTGGTGTTCCCCAGGGCAGCATACTTGGCCCTCTCCTCTTTCTCATCTACATTAATGACCTTCCAAATGCCTCCCAACACCTCAAACCAATTCTATTTGCTGACGACACAACCTTCATTTACTCCAGTCCTGATCCCCTTGCTCTAAATGCCACAGTAAATACTGAGCTAAATAAAGTCCATCTGTGGCTAACTGCCAACAAACTCACCCTTAACATTGACAAAACTTTCTATATTCTGTTTGGCAATAAATCCTCTAATCAAATAAATCTCAAAATAAACAATACCCAAATTTGTAACAAATTAGATGGCAAATTCCTTGGCATTCTCATTGACCACAAGCTGAATTTCCAGGGACACATTCTAAACATATCAAAAAAAGTTTCAAAAACTGTGGGTATTCTTTCTAAGATCAGATATTATGTACCACGCCCTGCCCTGGTGACTCGATCTATTACTCCCTTATCTATACATATCTCAACTATGGTATTTGTGCTTGGGGCTCTACTACCCAAAATCACTTACGTCCTCTAATTACTCAACACAAAGCTGCTATTAGGACAATATCCAATTCTGGCCCCAGACATCACTCGGTACCCCTACTCAAATCTCTGAATATGTTAGACATTAAGTCACTGCACATTCTCTCATGTGTATTATACATATATAAAACGCTTAACTATAATGCCAATCCTGATCTCAAAAGCTTCATAGAAGGTTGTAACAGAACCCATGAGCACCACACCAGAAATAAATACAGTTTTGATATTCCTAGAGTACGACTTAATCAAACCAGAAATGCTCTACAAATCAAGGGGCCCAGAATGTGGAATGATCTTCCCAACCATGTTAAAGACTGTACCTCTCTCAACCAGTTTAAGTTAAAAACGAAGCTATACCTAATAAATTCCCTGTAACCTACCTTACCCCTCTGTTGTCAACCCATGTATGTTTTTTGTTTTGTTTTTTTGTTTTTCAAATCAACGCTGCTTGAATGTAATTTTCTGTAATAATTTGTAATTGTATTCGTGCTGCTTTTTCAACAATGTTCCCCCCTCTTTTACCTCTATTTTTATTTGTTCTCAACACATTTTATTCTTTTTGCCCATTAGTTTTAAGCTTTAGTCATTAATTTTTTTCCTGCCCGAAACGCTTTGCGTAATAGTGGCTTCAAAAGCTTCATAGAAGGATGTAACAGAACCCATGAGCACCACACCAGAAATAAATACAGTTTTGATATTCCTAGAGTGCGACTTAATCAAACTAGAAATGCACTACAAATCAATTATTAAATTATTATTATTTTTCTTAAGGCCACCTTTCCATTACGTTTTCTTTTTCACGCTCACGTTCCTCTGTTGCCTGTGGGGTTCACTTGTCTATATCTGTCCTAATAGAACGTCGCATTTTGACGTATACTTTACCTAGGACCAAAAACTGTCGTACTAGAAAATGGTAGAGGCTCGCGAAATTGACATACTGTCCCGTTTTCTGTGTTGCGTCCTCTGGTTACCTGGTAGATAACCAGAGCTTCGTCATGGGAGTTCAGTGATTTATTGAACAATCACACAACCTTCATTTGCTCCAGTCCTGACCCCCTTGCTCTAAATGCCACAGTTAATACTGAGCTAAATAAAGTCCATCTTTGGCTAACTGCCAACAAACTCACCCTTAACATTGACAAAACTTTCTATATTCTGTTTGGCAATAAATCCTCTAATCAAATAAATCTCAAAATAAACAATACCCAAATTTGTAACAAATTAGATGGCAAATTCCTTGGCATTCTCATTGACCACAAGCTGAATTTCCAGGGACACATTCTAAATATATAAAAAAAAAAATTCAAAAACTGTGGGCATTCTTTCTAAGATCAGATATTATGTACCACGCCCTGCCCTGGTGACTCTCTATTACTCCCTTATCTATCCATATCTCAACTATGGTATTTGTGCTTGGGGCTCTACTACCCAAAATCACTTACGTCCTCTAATTACTCAACACAAAGCTGCTATTAGGACAATATCCAACTCTGGCCCCAGACATCACTCGGTACCCCTACTCAAATCTCTGAATATGTTAGACATTAAGTCACTGCACATTCTCTCATGTGTATTATACATATATAAAACGCTAAACTATAATGCCAATCCTGATCTCAAAAGCTTCATAGAAGGATGTAACAGAACCCATGAGCACCACACCAGAAATAAATACAGTTTTGATATTCCTAGAGTGCGACTTAATCAAACTAGAAATGCTCTACAAATCAAGGGGCCCAGAATGTGGAATGACCTTCCCAACCATGTTAAAGACTGTACCTCTCTCAACCAGTTTAAGTCAAAAACGAAGCTATACCTAATAAATTCCCTGTAACCTACCTTACCCTTCTATTGTCAACCAATGTCTGTTTTTTTTAAGAGCGCTGTTTGTTGACATAATTGTATTTGTGCTGCTTTTTCATCTATGTTTTCATTTCTTGTTTTCATTCTACTCATTATGCTCAATTAGTATCAAGCTTGTCATTTAAGTTTATCATGCCCGAAACGCTTTGCGTAATAGTGGCTTTAGGCATTGTATGTACTAGCTCTACCTATAAGTCAACCAATCTTTGTAAAAATTTATTGTATGTATGTACCTTACCTAAATAAAATTATTATTATTATTATTATTATTATTATTATTATTATTATTATTATTATTATAATCAACTACATAAAGTGATTGTAATACTTTTAAAATGCTGATATAACCTACAAAACATAAATACCCTGTGGATTTCCCGTGGCGCAGTGATAACACACTCGCCCGACGTTTCGCGTGCGTTGTGGCCTGGGTTCGTATCCTGGCCGGGGCGTTAAACCTTAACTGTATAGCCTCTGTTCACCCAGCAGTGAATGGGTACCTGGTTGTTAAACGATTTGGCGGGCGTTATTCCGGGGAGAATTAGGATTAAGGACCTGCCCGAAATGCAGTGCGTGCTAGTGGCTGTACAAGAATGTAACAACTCTTGTATATATATATAAAAGTACATAAATACACAGGTTTACGTCTGTCCTACATAAACAATGTTCGAGGTATCGTTTTACATAGTGTTATTAATGTGTGTTTACAAAGGTTATTTGCTTACAAATGTATCTTATTGTCTTAAGTAATTATCAAAAGATGGCGCCAAGGGAAGGCTATGTAGCATTTATTGTCTCGATAAACGTAGGCGATGAGTCACAATAACGTGGCTAAAGTATGTTGACCAGACTACACACTAGAAGATGAAGGGACGACGACGTTTCGGTCCGTCCTGGACCATTCTCAAGTCGATTGAGAATCGACTTGAGAATGGTTCAGGACGGACCGAAACGTCGTCGTCCCTTCACCTTCTAGTGTGTGGTCTGGTCGATAAACGTCCTTGAACTTGCACAGGCGCCATATACCATCGAGCTTTCCCTATAACACATCGAAAAGGCCCCACATTCGCGATGGCGCGATCAGGCTTCTGTGTGAATGAAATTTTATTATACACATTTATTGTGGTTAGCAATTTTTATAACTGGGGTGGGGGGGGGGGGCGTGGATCACTTATACTCAAGTGGCACCCCAGGAGAAGGTCTGAAGTCTCCGTTGGACATCAATTGTATGTCTCTGAGAGCCTTCTCTATTGTGGGTGTTCACTAAAGAGCCAAAACTCTACCCCCTGCAAGCCCAACTAGATGAGTACAGTAGCGGATCCCGGGTTCGATTCCCGAGCGGGACAGAAATGGATAGATACGTCTACTTTCACCCAGTGCCTCTGTTCACCAAACAATTAAATATGTACCCCGGGGTTAAATTAAGCAACTAATGTGGGATGCACCCTGGGATAGGTTACTATATATGAATATGAATGAATTAATATATAGTTTGCCAAAGGAGTACCTCGACACGACCAGATATCACAGATATGACAGATTTAAGTTTAGGTGCATATCATAGCTCACCAGTGACCTTGTAAGAGTTAATTACATATCAATTTAGTTATTTTAATTACACCGTATTGAAGGCTGAGCCCATACTAGCTATTATCAGTACGCTGCGCGTACTAGTGACTTTACAAGAATGTTAACACCATGACATGTATCCTCACTAACCCAATATGTACCTTCTTGTATATATATATAAATAAATAAATAAATAAATAAATAAATAAATAAATAAATAAAATAAACGAAAATCCCGCCTTTAGGAAGCACGCTGCACATGCCTATTGCATCACGCAAAAGTTCGCAACCTATCCGCACCACAACAATAATTAATATATCGAATTCAGCCAGTCTCATATTTCAGTTCACACTATGAAAAAGACACCCTTAAATATTGATGATCACATTAGCTTATATTTGGCTTAATTACGTTATGAAACCGAGGATATAATATAGACCAACCCCGGAAGAGTTGGCGAGCCTGGCGGTACCAACAACAACAACATTGGAGACGGTCCCGTCCCGGCGTCAGTGACAGGTACAGCCGGCTTGCTGTCCCAGGCACAGCACCCCATGTGCTCAACATACTCTCAAAAGCACTGTTAGAGGAGAAAATGTAGATGTGTAGAGTAATCTCGCTGTGAGTGCAGTGTAGCGGGGGCTTGCGGTGGTGTTGACTTCCTGGAAACCACAGGATTATCCAGGTGGATTGTACACCAGGCGTTGTCCCAGGTGTGTGGGGGCGTGTACCCCAGGCGCTGTCTCAGGTGTGTGGGGGCGTGTACCCCCCCCTCCGGCGCTGTCTCAGGTGTGTGGGGGCGTGTACCCCCCTCCGGCGCTGTCTCAGGTGTGTGGGGGCGTGACACGTGAGGCAGCACCCTGGAGGAGATGATGTCCTGCGGTCTGCATGGCGGAGGAGGCGCTGCAGGGAAGGAAGTCACATACTACGGTAAGATTATTTATATACTATATATATTTAGGGTCCCGGTAGTACAGTCGGGTTCGTTCTCGACGCACAATCGAGAATTCTGGGTTCGAATCCCGGGCGGGACAGAAATGGTTGGACGCCTCATTTCCTTTCACCTAATCCCTCTGTTCACCTAGCAGTGAGTAGGTACTTAGGAGTTAGCTTGTTGTGGGGTTGTATCCTGGGCAGAGTCAGTAATTCGACCCTGGGGGGGGGGAACCTTGATATAAGCCAAACGTGTATGAATACATGCTGGCTTTCTGTCTCCCAACACAGTGAATGATTAAATTATTATATTTAATAATTTTTTTTTTACATTTAGATTATAATGTTACTTGTTCCTGTCTTTAAGATCCTCATCATTTGTTTTCCTATAGTGTCAAATGAAAAGTTACTTAACCCCGTCCAGTTACAGTGGTTGAACTAGGTACAGTATATGTATTATGTATTTTCCAAATACATAACAGCCAGGCACTATGTTGGGTCAAAATTGAAACCAAACAATCGTGTAATACAATACTGTAGTTGCATCAGAAATGGATTGCCCCCCCCCCCCATTTAAAAGTACTGTATAGAACAAGCTTTTTCTCTGCAAAAATAATGTAATATAGCTTAATTGCAATAAATAACGTGAATACACTATGTGTTATCAGTACTGTTGGAGACTGAGCATGCTCGGAGATTGACCCACCTTACAGATAGTTCAGCCCATAGTAAAAACTTTACAATTGCCCGTAATAGCATAGAGAATTACAGAAACACGGAGCCTACTGTATATACAAAAGGTGTATGGATAAATTAGAAATGGGCACATGCAGCACTTTGCAGTGTGGAAAATACAGACCCATATTCTCTGCTATTTGAATATGGTACTAGGCCTATGGGAAAATGTGATATTTGCCTACAGGCCCAAGAGACACTGCTATTTGATTATTGGCTCATGGGGGGTATTACTGTTTTCAATATACTGTAGAACCGTGTGGCACTTTTAATTGAATATAGACTCATGGCACACTGCAGTTTGGATGCAGAGAAATATGGTACTGTTATTTGGATAAATACAGACTCAAAGGGCACTGCTATTTGAATATAAGCACATGGTGCATTGTACTATTTTGTTACACGCTATGGAGCACTTGTGTTATTTGCACAAATACTGGCCCATTGGTCAATTCCCTTTGAACGTAGGGAACCCATGTTCAAATATGGTTTTTTGAATACAGGCACATGGTATCTTGTCATTTGGATACTAGCCCATGTAAGCACTGTGTCATTTGGATACTAGCCCATGTAAGCACTGTGTCATTTGGATACTAGCCCATGTAAGCACTGTGTCATTTGGATACTAGCCCATGTAAGCACTGTGTCATTTGGATACTAGCCCATGTAAGCACTGTGTCATTTGGATACTAGCCCATGTAAGCACTGTGTCATTTGGATACTAGCCCATGTAAGCACTGCGTCATTTGGATACTAGCCCATGTAAGCACTGCGTCATTTGGATACTAGCCCATGTAAGCACTGCGTCATTTGGATACTAGCCCATGTAAGCACTGCGTCATTTGGATACTAGCCCATGTAAGCACTGCGTCATTTGGATACTAGCCCATGTAAGCACTGTGTCATTTGGATACTAGCCCATGTAAGCACTGTGTCATTTGGATACTAGCCCATGTAAGCACTGTGTCATTTGGATACTAGCCCATGTAAGCACTGTGTCATTTGGATACTAGCCCATGTAAGCACTGTGTCATTTGGATACTAGCCCATGTAAGCACTGTGTCATTTGGATACTAGCCCATGTAAGCACTGTGTCATTTGGATACTAGCCCATGTAAGCACTGTGTCATTTGGATACTAGCCCATGTAAGCACTGTGTCATTTGGATACTAGCCCATGTAAGCACTGTGTACAGGCACATGGGGCACTGTTCTTTTTGTATTCCCATGTAGCATTGAATTTGGCTAGAAGAATGCATCCAAATAGCTAGGCTAATGCTATTTGGATACAGAGTCAGAGAGCACAACATTTTTTGTTTTTTATATAGGAGCTTATGATAAATTGCCGGTCTCTGGACAGTTAGAAAGTTATCAATGTTCTTGGTGGATTTGATGTAGTTATATCTGGTTAATTGCAAAAGTTATTGCATGAATTAAAACAGGAGATGAATTGAAACAGTATAATTTCTATGAAATTACACTGGACTGAATGCTATACATGCATACCCACAGAGATATTACTGAGAAACTGCAAATGTTCAGAGTTGCGTTGCTTGCCAAGTCTTTGGACACCCTGGTGCTGGTCTCCAGACGAATGGGTATTTTACCCATTTCCTCGACCCATCCTCCTGTTTAGATAGTACTCTTTATTTTTTTTTTTGTAACTGTGGACCATTGCACATACCTGTATATTGATGTAAGAATAATTAAATAGTAGAATTTGGTACTATTCACTTTATAAGAGTCCAGAAAAAATATAACTAAAAACTAAACTTATATATTTGTAGGCCTAGTATAGTTCATATATGTACTATATTAGGCCTTTGTGTGTATTAGCACTAGGATGGTTAAGTTAGGTTAGATTTTATTAGCACCGTAAATACAAAACCTTTTCCAGTTTGTCCAAATTCAATAGGACCTAATTTTTTTTTTCCAATTATGCAATATGTCAATATATGTACAATGGTTGACATCATTTATACAGTATAAGTATAGTACTATCTAAAGAGGAGGATAGCCTCTATTTCTTGCATACTATATTTACAGCGGTATAAATATGTGTAGAATGCTTATACTGTAGTACAAAAATTATGGTTATCAACATAAATTATGTTGACTTTAGTGTACTATTATTAAATATCTAATAATAATAATAATGATAATAACAATGGAGAAACTTACTACAATGCAGTAGTGCTTGAGTGAGGGTGAAGGAAAGATGCAAATTATATGTAAGTGTATTAAAAAAACACATTTTTGGATGTAACCTACATCCTTTGTCAAGGTTTTGTATACAATGCTTAGCATTGTATACAAAATGCTTAGATTGTATATAATGCTTAGCATTGTATACAGTACTTTGAGAAATGTTGTAGGCTATATTCAAAAATTTGGTTTTAATACTTATACATAATTTGGGTCTTTCCTTCACCTTCAGTAATAGGGTAATGAAGAGAGAGAGTGAGTTTTCAAGGGAAAGTGCCAAGCCATTATGACTATATAGCACTTAGAAGGGGTCAGGATAAGGATTTGGGATGGGACGGGGGAAATGAATGGTGCCCAACCACCTGGACAGTCAGGGATTGAACGCCGACCTGCATGAGATGAGACCGTCACTCTACTGTCCAGCCCAAGTGGTTGGGTATAGACTAATGAAGTAATAATCAGATTTCAGCTTAAAAGGCTGGCATCATTTTGTGCTAACCCTAGGTGAAACATTTAAAGATGCTGCTTTAGCTGAAGTGATTTCATAGAATTACTTAACAGGACTTTATGGCATATTAAGCATTGATGAAGTACAGTAGTGTGTTAATCTTCTCAGTGTAGAAAAATCCATCTTGTATGTAATCTTCCTGATAGTATACAGTATATCTTTTGGTATGTGAATTACAGAATACAACCTGGGATTCTACTACAGTAGTGTTGGAGGTTGCACAATAGAATGCCTGGTTGTATAACTAAATCAGGTCAGGGTGATAGTTTTTTTTATTATTATTTTCTACCACAGATGTGGCCACACATTTACAATGCTAACTAGCATATATACATTTTCTTTTGTCCTCCATGGACAGGGTTAGAGGTATGTTAAATATATATATAGTTCAGTGATTTTTTGAACAATCAACCACAGAAGGTGATTGCAGTGCTTATAAAATGTTGATCTAACCTACATACAGAAATACAGAAATATACAGATTTACGTCTGTACTACATAAACAGTGTTCGATGTGTCCTTTTACATTGATGTGCATTTACAAAGGTAAATTGCAATTCTGACCAGCTTCCACATATCCTGTATACACATGCATACATACATACACACATGTACTTAAAAATATATACATATATACACATATATACACACATTTGTCTCTCCTACTTTGACAGGGTAAGGTAGCTGCTATATTAACTACCAATGATTACTTCAGTGATTACTGAATTAAGCGTTATTAAGCACTGAACCTCTGAAGGTGATTAGGGTACTTTTACAAGCTCAGGTTATAGTTACATCACAAACATTGTATAACTGATGCATTACATAGTCTTAGGTACAAGTCCAGTATATTGTCAAGTGTTCCAGTATTCATATAGTATTTACAGAGTTCAGCATACCTCAGCCAAGAAGGGCGAAAGTCAGTCAGTATGGGACATTCTACAATATAATGTTCAAGGGAGTGCATGTTTTCTCTTTCACAAAGTTGACACATGGTGTATTCAACATTTGGGTTTTGAGAGAGCTGCCCGATACGTCTATATTCCAGGCGTATTCTGGCCACTATGACATCACATTGCCGAGATCTTGCTCTATTAGTTCTACTGTATATATAAATGTCTCTTCACGTTATTTATCAAAATCTTTAATGCTACAACTTTCAGGTCTTTGTGAATTTGTTTGGTCAGAAAGATTTTCATTAGATAATTTGTTTAAGTATTCTCTTTGTCACTGTTAATGAAACACCCATATCAATATCTACTACAGGTGGTCTTGGTGATACAGTGGTGGAGGCTGTGGCTGGCAGTATGCTTGTCACGTGTTCGCGTCGTATAAGAGCTCCAGTTGATTTTTTCATTTATATATATCACATGTGTGATTTCTCTGTAATTGTCATGAGTGTTATTTCAGCAGTTATCTATAATTCATTGTGTCTGGGGACAGGAAGCCAGAGTGTTTTCATACACGTTTTGACTTTTGTCGAGGTCCCACCCCAAGGTCGAATTACTGACCCCGCCTAGGATGCAACCCCATCAAGCAGTTTAAGAAGG